TGCCGAGGCAGTATCACTACAGAAGTAGATTGCTCAACCTTCCTTTCAAGGAATGGCTGGTGGGGTTGAACTGCCAGCCTTCTGGTTAGCAGTCAAGTGCCTTAGGCACTATGCTACCAGAGCTCCTATTTATAAAATAGTTCATATTCTAATTATATAAATCTGATCAAAATAGAAGTTTCTAATTTTGGGCTGAAACAATTTTAATCTATATATAAACATGTATTTGGATGTTTATGAATCTAAGTTCAAATCACACTAGTTTTCAAGTCTTTTAGTACAGCTCTATTTTCTATTTTGTTAAGTTGAAGATGATAGCAAAATAGATTCTTTAAGAGATTTGCCCTTACTTTTCCTTTCTAGTGTTACCAAAATTTGAAGTTACTTTGCAGACACCATTATATTGTTCTTTGAATTCTAAGAGTTTAAATGGGACCATCATGGCAAAGTAAGTATTATTTTTCTTTTTATATGACTATAAGTTATTATTAAATTGTATGATAAAACCTCATTATATACTCTAGAATATTAGCACAAGTTTTCCTAACAAAAATGCCATAGGAGGCAATAAAGAAATGTCTATAGTAGATAATGAAGCATTGGAATAGATCTCTAATAGCCTTTGCATTCATCTCTATGCTTATAAGTGGGTTCGATCCTTAAATTTTTCCCATGGATTAGTGTCTTTTCAAGATTAATCAAAGAATTTACAGTCTACTTGTGTCATTAAGGAACAAAAAAAGAGTTGTATATTTATTCTTTTCCCAATAGATGTAGAACTGAGGTGACTTACCTCTTCTTAATCACACACACACACACACACACACACATGCACAGTATGTTTGCCAATAACAGAGGTTGAGATTTTGGGGGAGGGATTCACTTAATGCAATAAGCAGATGAGTAAATAATCTTTCATTTCACAGAGCATAGCATTTGTTTTGCTAAGACGAAAGCATCATCAGAGTCCTAGACTAACGGTCTTCAAAAGTGCGGTCTAGGATTGCCCTCATGTAATTCAAGGACCGGTCTCTTATGGTTTTTATTTTTGATGTGACAGATTTGTCCTTTGGTTTCTAATATATTTTCATAATTTATTTGCAATAGTTAATAAAAACTAGGCATCATTTTACTGCTATCTCATCACCATTGTTCCTTCTCTAGTGAAGTTTTGTGGCAGTGACAAGTGATAGCGTCAGTGTGTCTCCCAGCAGAAGCAGTGCACAGACAGAAATGTCTTGAGGACTCCTGTTTTAGACAGTTTGGCATAAAATCTTGCCAAATCCATGCAAAAAAAAGACAAAAATATGTACTAAGTTAGTTTTCTGCCCATGGTCAGCTAAAAGGGAGCTTCCAACATGAATTTAGTGTAGGTACTGTGGATGGATTTATGGTTTAAAAAACATAAATATCTGCATTCTGTATAATTACTGTAATGCACTTGACCTTAGCCAAAAGTTAAGGTTTTATCTTGAGTTCTTTGACTAATGTTTATAAAACTCAGTGGGTTCAAATTCACACAAATCATTTATGAATTGAGTCTGGATACCTTATTTTGTTTTGCTTTTCAAAGGTATGTCAGGGATTTCATATAATAAATTAAAACTTCTTAAACTTTAGTAAGCTATGTATTTGAGACTCTGATAAAAGTTATGAACCCTCTCTCCAGAGAATTTTGTATATAATTTTAAGGGGCTGTAGATCCTCTGAAGCCACACCATTGGCACGCCTTCCACCCTTATGTAAGATCTCTTGTAGTTTTATCTGATTTTCATTTGTTGTGCCTCTTTGAGATACTCATGATGGAGAATGACATAAAAATTATGATGGTCCCTGGCATTCCTTTAGTGATCACCATACAGTATTCTTATTTTCTTCAGTATGTGCTTCAGTCAAGGTTCAACCAGAGAAGATGAACAAGTAGGAGATTATAGTAAGAGATTGATTATAATAAATTGATTTATGTGATTATGGGAACTGGCTAGATAATTCTAAAATTAATAGGGTGGGCAGGCTGGAACACTCAGACACAGCATGAAGTGCCTCCCCACAGGCAAAAAGTGTTTGAAGAAATGGAGGCTTTAACCTAGTCAAGTTGTCATAAAAAAGACAACCACAGTATATTTGGTTTGATTGTTGTGTATAGTGAGTGTCCTTGTTGCCATCCAAAGCTCTCAGGTCAAGCTAGTTCTGATAACAGTCCTTTCTGAGTACTTCTTTCCTATTAAATCCCTTCTCTTCAGGTTTCAATTGCCTAAGTTGTGGTAAAGAAAGGTAGTTCTATACCAGGGAATCTTCTGTGTGAATTTAGAAGAAATCACCACCAACATGGCCTAGATCTCTTTTTCTAGAGGCCTGTGAATAAAGGTTGAATATTTTCCCTCTATTCTTCACCCACTGCTGTCGAGTCAGATATGACTCATGCGACCCCTCCTTGGGTTTCCAAGGCAGTAATCTGGTAGCAGGGAGCTCTGGTAGCATAGTGGCTAAGGCACTTGACTGCTAACCAGAAGGCTGGTGGTTCAAACCCACCAGCCACTCCTCGGAAGGAAGGTTGGGCAATCCTACTTCCATAGTGATACTGCCTCAGAAACCCAAGGAGGGGTGGCTATGAGTCGGGGCCGACTCGACGGCAACTAACAACAACAACAATAACATCACTATGGAAGTAGATTGCCCAGCCTTCCTTCTGAGGAGTGGCTGGTGGATTTGAACCACCAGCCTTCTGGTTAGCAGTCAAATGCCTTAGGCATTAATTTTGGGCCTACCAGTGCAGTTTCAGGAAAGTGATCATCATCATCTTGACTATGTCTGTCATAATGGAGGCAATGTCTCTCCTCTCTTCAGAGGCTAATTCCTCCATTTGGGCCTTGGATACTGCTTGAACAGTTTCTCTTAGAAAGATAAGCCCAAGGTCAGTCCCCATGAGACAGAGGTTAAAGATGTTCCTAATGTCCAAACTACCATGCCACTCCATCATTTCAGACATTAACTCCTCCTCTCAGTAATCTCTCCTGTCTTAGGGTTCTGTATTTCTCTGTAACGCCTCACGGAACTCACAGACACCCAAGTGATCGTCTCACGTAGTAGTGCTAGAGGCTGGCAGACTGGCAAGTCCTAGGTCTGTGAGTAAGTCTGGAGGATCCTCCCAGTTCTCAGGGTTTGATGAACTCAATCAGCAGATCATATGGTGGCTGCTGTCCCAAATCCAGGGGTGAGATGAGGATAAGCCAAGACACAAAACCGGAGCCAGAGGAGGGCGTATCTTCCCAGGAGATATACCCTCCAGCAAGCTAAGGGTGGTGATTTGAATTATACCCTCCAGCAAGGCAGGACTCAAGATACATTCCACCTGTGTTGCTCCAACAGGAATAACCCAAATCGATGGCTTTAGCAATCAGCAGCTACTAAGTTGCGCCCAGCAAATCCCACCACAGAGCCGATTGCCAGTCATTATAGGCAATGACTACTACCAGCTGTCCAGCCAAATTGATACCTGACCTTAACTAGCACACCACCCCAAACCGGCATGGATAATAGGATTTACAATACATCATAAAATGGAGGGCAATGGCTAGAAGGGCAACATCAAGCAATTCACCGCAGATTTTATCTTCTGTCAGGAGAATCCCACTTCTCTTGCCTATATCTTGATTTCTTCTATTTCATACCTTTGATCTTTTGTTCTTTAGTAGCATCTTCACTCTGTTTAAACATGTCCATGACTCCTTCCAGCCACTGTCCTATCTCTTGCCTCTTTGTCACAGCTGAGCTAGCATTGCATTTTCTACTTCTCATTCCATTCATTCTTCAGCCACCTACAATCTGTCATTCATTCTCACCACACTGCTGTTAAACTGCTTTCAATGAGGTCACAAAGACCTCCTTTTTGTTCATTTTTGGGAGTACTTAGGATTTTACAAATTTCTTTTTAAAATTTTGTGGCATTTGAAACTATTGTCCATTCTCATTTCCTTTTTGATTTTCCTGTGTTTACTTTGCTCCCTAGAGTCTTTGCAGGCAACTCTTCTATTCATCTTTTAAACATTCTTTGTCTTCAGAGCTCCATCTTTGACTCTCTTCTCTTCTTTCTGAACACACTTACTCAGATCTTTCTCCTGCGAAACCAGGCTTCTATGATATGGTGACACCTAAATCTGTATCTCCAGCCCACATTTCTATCTTGAGATTCAGACCCTCATATCTAGCTATTCACTAGATGTCCCCTACTGGGTGTCCCACAGATATTTTAAATGGAACATATCATCTTTCCCCAAACCTGATTGTTTTCTTGTGTCCTTATCATGGTGGGCTGCATCACTACCTGTTCAGCTGTACAAATCAGCTGCATTCTTTCCTCTCCCTTAATCCCCACATCTAATCAACATGTATGCTACAGTCTTATCTCCTTAATAGCTCTTAAATCTGTCCACTCTTCTCCATTGCCACTTTTTAGATTCAGGCTACCATCATTTATCTTCTCAATTGCTTAGTAGTTTCTTAAATGGTTTTTCTGACCCTAGTTTTACCCCTTCTAATCTTTTCTTTATACTTTATCCAGTATTTTTTCCCCTAAAAGACAAATCTAATTTTATGACTCTTTTGCTCAAAAAATTTTAAATTTTTTTCAAAAGTGTCTTTTGAAACTTCCCACTCAACTCCTCTTTATCTTCCCAACCTCCATCCCTGCATTTTACTTGTGATTTCAAGAATGGAAGTTCATTTTTCTGATCAATAGGTGTTTACGTAGGCAATTTTATGACTTGACTATTGCCTCTGATACCTCTCATAGTCACAGAGTGTGGTTGTTTGCTAGTCTACCTGCGTAAAAACAGATCTGTGTCTTGTTTACTACTGCATCTTAGTGCCTAATATGGTTCCAGCCATGGAATAAACATCCAAAAATTACTTATTGAAAGAACAAATGGATAAACAATATGACCCCTAAGATTTCAGTTTTAAGTTGTATGTAGCACAGTGAAGTCTTCAAATCCAATCAAAAAGCTACCTAGGTGGAGTGAACCAAATTAGTTGTATGGACAATAAATATTGTTTCATCACTAACCTAGTGGGTAGAGACTAGGGCCTGAAATCAAGTTGTTCCTTGGGTGTATTTTGAAAAGTGATTTCTGTTGGTTTACCAATTGGATGGTTGTTACCAAGTTACAGAGATAATTTTGTAAACATTTATTTCATAATAGTTATTATAGTCATCTCTCTGAGTGAATGATAAACAGTTTAGGTTACTTGTTTCCTAGCAGCCATCTGTCCCATCAAGTTTATAATGTGTATAACATTTCACAGAGAAGAAGGTTACAGGTTCCTTTTGGTTTTGAAATCTTGAACAGAAATGATTAAAAACCTGCATTTGTTTATTAGCTTTGATGTGAACATCTGCTCACTACTCACTTTCTCAATAAAATAAGTAATAGAATCTTTTTCACTCATCACAGTGGATCCTTGAGTGCTGTAAAGAAAACACAGCATCGATCTAGTTTGCATCCATGACTCCTGGGTACAGGGAAATTTTTCAAGTATTATTTACTTTGAGGTTTATTTGAAATGTATTTATTATTGATAAACTAAGCCATGTGTATGCTAGAAATGACAGGGAAAAAAAAGTGGGAGAGAAACATGAATTACACTAATAAGTTCATTTTTTTGGTTTCAGAAAAATAATTCCTAATTTTGGTAATGATACTATCAAAGAACATGCTTGATTTGCTTTATAAAATGCTAGCAAATGATAATTTTCTGAATAATTTATCCTCAATGCTTCCAGATTCTATTTGGGACAAAACCTTCCATATCCACGTTTCACTATTATTATAATCAGTTTCATTACTTGGAAGCTAAATCTACTTCACTTTTAAACAAAATGGAAGATATTTATGTCTGAGAATAAACTGTGTCTCAATTTTAAAGCTCCCTGTACTACCATAATTTAACTCTTTTAAAATACTCTGTTTTAGTATTCTAGTGATGCTTTTATTTAATTTTTAACAAGATACAAGTAATGCCAGATTTTGAGGACTCTTGAAAGAGTGAATTTGATGCTGAAATTGCTAACCAGGGTTTCCACTAATTTTACTATATTAACATTGTTTTCTTTTGGAAGGGTGGTACATTTGAAGGTGGATTTTCTTTTGCAGTGTACTATTTTTTGTCATTTGAATTGAGTTGTTCCAGATGAGGAGTTGTCTCTGTGTTCATTTAATGGATTCAGGAAGCAGGAGTTTACTATTACGATTCACAGAGTGCAAAGCAAATTGACTTGCTTATTTGGCTCAGCATTTCACAATAAGATGGAAGGAACTCAGGAGATGCATTTATTTAAAAAGGCTATCTGGCAGTAAAATGATTTACCAAAGTTTGCTTCTCCTTCATAATGAAGAGACTTCCAAATCATATGTGTAGATAGAATTAATACAATTCATTGTAATAGAATGCAAAGCAGCAGAGAATGATATTTGGCTGAAGAAGATAATTTTGGTACTATGGATGAAAAAAATGTTATTTAAAGTTTCCTGCTTGATCATTTACATATAGTGATACAATTTTTGATCATGTTTGGTGCCTCTGAATCTATTGTTGTTGTTGTTGTTATGTGCCATCGAGTCGGCCACGACTCATAGCGACCCCCTCCTTGGGTTTCCTAGGCAGTATCATTATGGAAGTATATTGCCCCATCTTCCTTCCGAGGAGTGGCTGGTGGGTTTGAACCGCCGGCCTTCTGGTTAGCAGTCAAGTGCCTTAGCCACTATGCTACCAGAGCTCCCCTCTGAATCTATATAGTTGAATAAATTCTCCAGGCTAATGTTGGAACATGCTGTAGTAGGTCATTGTGATTGAAATTTCAGCTAACATTTAAAAATCTTTAAAAGTGTCTTTTGGGTTCATAGTTAATTGGCCAGTCCAGATTTCTAGGCGTAATAGGTTTTTGCAGTCTTTTAAAAAGCTTTGGACAAGAAACTGTCACTTCCAGTCACCATCAGATTTTCTCTGGGGTGTCTGGTTGGAGGTTGGGCAAAGTGTGCATTACAACCTGTTTTCAAGTATTGTAGTTAAAAGCTTTCCCATTTTAGAGTGCTGATTTTAAGGATCCTCATTTGGTAAGGATATTCCTGGCTTTGTTTATTGTTGAAAATTTATAGGAAGGGTATGTTTTTAATATAATTCTTTCATGCTGGATTGCCAGTATGTACTGCTGATAGTAATAATTAATTGAGTTATTTTGATAATATCAAGTAAAAAATGTGAAGAAACTCTGTTAATTATTTTTCAGGTATACGTATGGGAAGCCAGTAAAAGGAGATGTAACACTTACATTCTTACCTTTATCCTTTTGGGGAGTGAAGAAAAATATTACAAAACATTTTAAGGTAACTTTTTAAAGATTTTTGTAATTTATAATAGGAAAAACTCAAAGTGTATTTTTTTTTTTAGAAGTAAGATTTGTACTGAGTTGTCAAAAAAAAAAAAAAAGACAGTATAAGAAAATCAAGAGCTTTTCAGCTTTGTACAAGTGAGAATCTACCCATTTATAGCAATTAAAATGGAACCAAAAGCCATCGTATTCTTGTGACTTAGATTTTTATTTATTTCTTAAGTTTGAACTGCTAATGTGAGAAATAAAATTGAACTATTTAATAAAACAGATAAATGGATCTGCAAACTTCTCTTTTAATGAAGAAGAGATGAAAAAGGTAATGGAATTTTCAGAAGGGCTTTATGAACGTGTGGATCTTTCTTCCCCTGGGCCAGTAGAGATTTTAGCCACAGTGACAGAATCACTTACAGGTTGGTAGACTTTGAAGTGAAGGTAAGGCTGTTTATGTGGTGTTGCTTATATGGTCACCATTCTTAGACTTTCCAAAGATGTTACTTTATGTTAAAACTTGTGATTCTTAGTCTAACTTGCAGCATGTTTCCATAATTAAGGGGAAACTTATTATCTATGAAAGTTTGTACTTCAATCACATTTGATAGCTATTTGTAAACCGCCCCCCCCTCCCAATTTCTATTGTATTTTTCAACCTGAAAACTATGCAGAAAGGTCTACATTTTCAGCTGGCCAACCATCTTTTCTTTTATCGCTTAGTATCTCCTGAAACCTCACCTCTTCCTGGAGGGTTTTGTCTTTTAATAAGAAAATAAAGGTTAATTCTTCAGACTTTTATGTTACTATTTCAGCAACTTTTACCAAAAGGGTGTTCTTTAAATAGCATTAATCTGTGGGTGTACATGTTATTGAGAGGAGAATAGAATTAATCGCTCTTAGAAGGGATCGATAATATGTGAATGAGGATTCTGTACCCTGATATCTTAACCCTTTAACAAGAAGCTTAGATGGATAGATTGGTGGATAGAAGCTCTTGGTGATGTATTACTTTTGCTTTCTGAATGGTGCAATTTCCCAAACAGGTATCTCTAGAAATGCAAGCTCCAATGTGTTTTTCAAGCAACATGATTATATGATTGAATTTTTTGATTATGCTGCTGTGTTGAAGCCATCTCTCAACTTCACAGCCACTGTAAGTTGGTATGTTTATTACTGGCCTAAAGCAATAGTTTAATATATTGAAATACAGCGAGAAATACTACTTTTAATGCCAAGCCAAAGAAGTAGATAGATAACTTTTTCACTTTAGATATATGAAGCATTTAGAATTATTTCCAAATGATCTTTGTCTAATTTTCTTAAAAAGTAGTTTCCAATACCAAAATATTTCTGAGAGTTCAATTTCATGGGAATACCAGAGGTAGAAACTAGATTTAAATTGAATTTAAAGGCATTGGTTCTCTTGTTAACTATTTTAAAAATGTGTTTTGACAATTAGGTGAAGGTAACCCATTCTGATGGGAATCAGTTGACTCCAGAAGAAAGAAGAAATAACGTAGTCATAACAGTGACACAAAGAAACTATACCAACTACTGGAGCAGATGGAGTACTAGAAACCAGGAAATGGGAGCTGTCCAGATCATGAATTTCACTGTCCCCCCAAATGGAATCTTTAAGATTGAATTCCCAATTCTGGATGATTCCAAAGAGCTGCAATTGAAGGTACCATCTGTTTCCCATCATTATCTTACTGCAAAAATACCATTACAATTGTAGTCTCATGGCAAGCCTGCAAACTATTGGAGGTCAAAGTGCATAGGAAGTGGACAGATGTTTGTATTTTTTCAAAAAATAGGGCAAAGTGTTAAAAGCAATTTAATGACAGTGGCTGAGTGTTAGACTGAGTGAGTGCTTCCTTGTAAGTTCATTTTGAAGAAAACAGAAAATATAGATATGATATAATGATATAATGGAGAGGCTCCTCAACCCTCCAGTCTAGGTTGATTTTTAGTTATTTCAAATTTCATTTTGGCAGGAACTGAAATAAAAGAGGGATATTTATTTATTTATTTCCCACTCACACAGCTTTACCAAACTCTTGTTTCTAGAGCAGCTTTCTGAGACTCCTTAAGCTTTCTAGCTACGTTTTTTTTTTCCTTTTTTTTCCTGTGGCAGGGAGGGTTATTTATCTCTGCGTAGGTCAGGGCCTGGGCAGAATAGGGTACTCTGAAGGTGTGAGCATTGGTTGATCAAGTAGAATGCTATGATGCCTTGCTTGTAATTGACTACATGTTGTGGAGAGGAGGAAAAGGAGAAAGAAAATGATTTCCTTTTCATTCTCTCTCTCTCTGTTTTCTGATAATATACCTTTGTTTCTGAAGGAAGATAGGACTATTCTTTCTTCCCTTGCATTATGATAGTGAAGACTTTCTTCCAAGTTTTAAAATGATCAATTTCTTTATGTTATGTTATGTGCCTGCCGTTGAGTCGTACCCGACTCGTAGTGACCCCTCTGTGGGTTTCCGAGGCAGTATCACTATGGAAGTAGATTGCCCCATTTTCCTTCTGAGGAGTGGCTGGTGGGTTTGAACCGCCAGCCTTCTGGTTAGCAGTCAAGTGCCTTAGGCACTATGCTACCAGAGCTCCCTAATTTCTTTATAGTACAATCTATAAAGTGATGAAGATCTAATGTCTGGTGAATACATTTTTTTTCTGCATGAAAAAAAAAGTGAATATGGTTTTCAATAATTGTTTAGCAGCTAGCATCTTTTCTTAAGGTTCTGCTAAAGGTGAAAATTAATAGCTCCTTTTTTCTCTGTTACAGGCCTATTTTCTTGATAGTGTAAGTAGTATGGAAGTTCGTGGAATGTTTAAGTCTCCTAGTAAGACATACATCCAGCTAAAAACAAGAACTGAAAATATAAAGGTAACGCTTATCAAATCGCTTGATAATTAAACAATCTATTTGGACTTTTTTTTGTCATTAGTATGTACATATTAATTAATAATCTTTTTCTAGGTGGGAACACCTTTTGAATTGGTGGTGAGTGGCAACAAACAATTGAAGGAGCTAAGCTATATGGTAATCTCTTGCAGAATCTAAATTTATCATCTATTATAGAATCATCTTAAATGGTGTTTATCTTATATCTAGGCTACACTTACTAGATTTTAAAATTCATCTTCTCTCTTTTGTAATCTGTCCTCTATATATTGCAATAAAAATATCTTTTTTTTTCTTTTTCATCTATATTTGCATTTCTAATGTATGATAAATATTTAAACCTTATATTACATTAAAAAATTTAAATTGATTAAGCAGCATTTGTCATTTTAGAAAAATTATAAAATATAAAACCATGAAAATGAAAATAAAAAGTTACTATACATGCCTTGTAATGTACTAATCCTGCTCTTCCCGTGGTGCCCGGTATTCCTTCCAATGCAAAACAGTTTCTTCATTATGAAGCACTGTTGTCCCAATCAGTATTGCCCTAATCTTATCATTTTCTCTTTCCCAGTGTATACTTGTATTTGTCAGGGTGGCTTTCTTTCATTCAAAAGGGTTTTGAGGTTGGTGTAAGTCAAGAATGTGTGTGTATTTTTAAAATTACGATAGCATAGTGGCTAAGGCACTTGACTGCTAACCAGAAGGCTGATGGTTCAAACCCACCAGCCACTCCTCGGAAGGAAGGTTGGGCAATCCTACTTCCATAGTGATACTGCCTCGGAAACCCAAGGAGGGGTCGCTATGAGTCAGGGCTGACTCGACGGCACATAACAACAACAACAACAACAACATAGCTATAACCAAGAGTCTCACCTGCTCGAGCATAAAATCAAACGTGTTTACTTTTCTCTTCAGGTAGTATCCAGAGGACAGTTGGTGGCTGTAGGCAAACAGAATTCAGCAACCTTCTCTCTAACACCAGAAAATTCTTGGGCCCCAAAAGCCTGTATCATTGTGTATTATATTGAGGATGATGGGGAAATTATAAATGATGTTCTGAAAATTCCAGTTCAGCTTGTTTTTAAAAATAAGGTAAGATTTAATATAATAACATTTGAAAGAAAACTTCATATTAATGAAGTCTGAGAAATGTGATATTTCTTTAGAAAAAGTATTTTTAAACCAAATTGGTTAGAAATTTATATTACTTATTTCTGGAACTATGGTTAAACCTCTTCATATTTAATTATTATGTATATATTTTCCTATGTGGAATTATTGGGCACGCTGAGTCGTATTTGTAAGATACAGTTCCTGTCTTTAAAAGTTCAGTGCAAATCCATTCAGGATTTAACTCAAAGCCATTTCAGGATTTCAAAAACGATTGAGTCAGTATTTCTTGGGCATGGAATTCCAGTGACAATATAGAATATTTTATGGACAATATAAAATTTGTATATTGGTGATATTGGCATGAAATGAAATGAAGGGAGTGGGAGAAAATGAGACCATTTGAGATGCTGTATTGTAGCAGAGCCAGGCTTTGTTGTACCCATTTCATTAGCCTGGAAGGTAACTGAGAACAAATTTTCAACAAACTTGGCTGCTTTGTATGTGAGAATTTGTGTGGTTTATGGTCTCCAAAAATGTCAGTGATTTTTATAGAGTAATATGCCCAGTTTGTGTAGGAATCCTCTTTGAATCTCCATTCTGAAAAGAAGCATGATTACAGGATGCCAGGTGGGATTGAATCATCTCATGCATGTTAAAATGAGCTGTAGCAAACCCAAACTCATTACTGTTGAGTTGATTCTAACTCATGGTGACCCTACAGGACAGAGCTGAACTTCCCCATTGCATTTCCCAGGCTGCAAGTCTTTACAGAAGCAGACTGCCGTCTTTCTTCAACAGAGTAGCTGGTGGATTCAAATCACTTTTGGTTGGCAGCCAAGTGCTTTAACCACTGCACTATCAATACAGAAAATCAAACCCACTGCCATCAAATCAGTTCCAACTCCTGGTGACCTTATAGGATGGAGTAGACTACCCACTGGGGTTTCCAAGCCTATAAATATTTATGGAAGCAGACTGGCTCATCTTTCTCCCATGGAGCAGAGTGGGTTGAGGTTCAAACTGCTGAGCTTTTGGCTAGCAGTTGAATGCTTTAACCACTGCACAACCCAGGCTCCCTGTGTCACTTATAGTTCTCCCTAAAAACTACTGTCTTTTTGAGACGTCTTAAGTGAAATGATCACTGTTTTAAAGTAGTGATTTGCAGAGCTGGTGTTAGCTGCTGGCTAGTTGATTCAGACTCATGGTACCCCTATGTATACATTTCTTCTAACAACATTTCTTTTTTTTTTTAATTTTTCAAAATTTGAGAAGTAGCAGTAATTATCCATGCCTTCTTTTGTTGAGAACTGTTAAACTAACTTTGATCATCAAAATATAATACAAACTCCTATTTTTCATCTTATGAGAATAATATTTTTAGGCAACACTACATTATGTTAGTGTCAGAGCACAATTTTTGACTTCTAGTGATTCTGTATTAATCATTCAACAAGGGTGAATTTTAAAGTTGGAGTCAGGCTTAACCATGGAAGAACACACCCCTGAAAGAGAGAGCAGAGTCTGATGTTAGCCACTGTGTAAAAGGTCAATGACCTGGAGGAAGCAGAGTATGTAAATAGCATGCTTCTGAGAAATTTCTTGGATAAAAATGATAGTATTGGTTATGTTGAGTGCGTCAGGGTTGTATTCTTTCTCCACACTTATTCAATCTATATGCTGAGCAAATAATCCGAGAAGCTGGACTATATGAAGAAAAACGTGGTATC